CCCGCAACTGGCGCGGCCTCGCTGAGTGCTGGGGCGGGGCCCGCCCGGTGCGGGGGCAAATCGTCGATGCACGTTGGTCTCGATGCGCCGGTCAGGGTGTCCCTCGAGGAGGGCCTTCCTGTTGTGGCTCCGGATGGCCTTTCCTCGTTCTCTGTGGGGACTCTGAATGCCAACACGTGGATGCGTGCGAGAGCCACCATGCCGTGGATAGAGAAGCACGTTGGTATGCCGCAGGCCCTCTGCATCCAGGAGACGGCACTGGCGGCCACTAGCGAGCAAGGGGCCCATCAGTGGACGAGAAGTTGCTCTAGGCGCCTGGCGCTGGGGTCTTCGGTGAGGACGGGCGAAGCGGCCAGAGCTCTCTCGTCAGGGGTTGGCCTCTCCACGGCACTCGGCGTGGGAGTCGCCCTGCTGGACCCGGTGCCGGAAAGGTTCAGGCATCGAGTTCTGCTCAGGCTGTTGACGCTGGGGCCCTGTTCGTGGCTGATCGTCGGCTCCGTGTACTGCGTCGACTCGCTGGGGCCCAAGGGCGAGAACCTGGATATCCTCGAGTTCCTCGGCACTTTCCTCGGTGCCCAGCGGTTCCCTTTCCTGCTGGGAGGGGATTGGAACATGGAGCCCGAGGAGGTCATGGCCACGGGTTGGCTCGATCTGGCCTCGGCCACGGCGTACGCGCCCGGAGTACCGACGTGCAATGGCCATGAATACGATTATTTCATCGGCTCCCAGAGCTTAGATGCGTTTCCCATGTCGGTGGAGGCGAGGGTCGACGCGCCGATTTCGCCTCACTGTTACGTGACGCTCACTTTGGACGGAATCCGGGAGGAGCCCTTCGTCTGGGTGGAGTCCCCTCCGAAGGCCTTCCCTCTGGCGGATCAGGAAGCCAAGGCAAAGGCGCGAGCCAAGGCCGAGGAGATCTGTCCGCCCCGCCCCGCGGTTCGTGCCGAGTGGATGCTGGATAGGCCCATCCGGAACGTCGAGGAGGAGGCGGCCGGATGGTTCACGGCAGCCGAGCTGTACCTCGTGGACCTCTTCGAGATCCCGGAGCAGGACAGGAGGTTGTACCTTGGCCGTTGCAAGGGCGTCGCCATGAAGAAGAAGAAGAAGCTCTCGGACCTCAGCAGAGGCACCCTGGAGCGCCATGACGAGACGGACACCAGGACCTGGCTGTCGATACTGAGGCTGTGGGACGGCCTCTGTGTTTCGTCAGCTGCTCCGTCTGGTTCCAAGGCGGGTCGCGCCATCCATCGCGACAGGATCATCCAGCAGATGCGCTGCATGGAGCTACCGGTGCCGCTCTCCGATTCCCAGTTGCTCAAGGAACCGCAAGTCGACAAGTGGATTGCTGCAGCCCAGAAGGGTGGGCCATTGGCATCGTGGTTCCGCACGGTGCTCTCTGATGAGGTCGAGGAGCGACGCCGCCGCGATGCCAAGGCACGGAGCCAGGCCTGGCGGGAGTTCGGCCAGTCGGTCGTCGCTGGATCAGGCAAGCTTGCCCATGCCATTTGTCGGCCAAAGAGACTGGAGGAGGCCTGCCCCAGGCGAGGCACTGCTGCGCACTGGCTGGTTGGATCGGCGGCGATTGACGCAGTCCTCGAGGAATGGGAGGCCTTGTGGGTCTCCACCGATCGAGCTGAAGAGGTCCATCCGAAAGACGGGCAGTATGACTGGACGCTTGGCCCCGTCACCGAGCAGCAGGTGATGGACGCATGCAGGTCATTCGGCCCTGCTACTGGCCTGGGCTGGGACAACTTCCACATGCGCTTGGTCCTTTTCCTCGACGGCGCCTTCGTGTCTCGACTCGCCCAGATCCTCACCGAGTGGGAGAAGGCCCCATCCTGCGAGCACATGTGGATCACGATCAACGTGTTCTTGCCCAAGGCGGAGGGTGGAACGCGGCCCATCGGCCTGCTATGTTTCTGGGCCAGGGTTTGGAGCAGAGTCAGGCGTGCCTATGTTAAGGATTGGGAAGCCTCGGTGGATTCCAGCTTTTTCTGGGGGAAGGACGCTGCAACCAGCTGTGACAAAGCAGCGTATCTTCATAATATGTTGACTTGTCACGCCCGTCGTCACGGACTTACGGCTATGACCGTGTTTTATGACATCCGGAAGTTTTATGAGAACGTCAGCCACCAGGAGTTGCGCCAAGCGGCCGAACACTTCTCCTTCGACGGCGCTCTCCTGAAGGCCCTGTGCTGCTTGTACAGGGCTCCGCGCAGGGCGCGGTGGACTGGAGGCACCAGTCGCCTCAGCCACCCCAATGGAACGATTGTGGCCGGCTGCAGCGCGGCGACTGGAGTGGCGAAATTGTTGATGCTGACGTTGCTGAGGCGCATTGCGTCGGAGACTCGCCCTTGTCGTGCCCTCAACGTGGTGGATGACCTGACGACGCACACCATCGGCGGGCCCGCCACGACCATCAACAGCACGATCCAGAGCTTCGACATTGTTACCTCGGAGCTTGGAGCGCGCAAACTGCCGATCAATTGGGGCAAGACCC